GTCTTTAACGTTTAAATCGGAGAGGATGTTATAAGAGATTATTCGAGACACGCAGAATTAAACTGGAGAAAAGTTAAAATACACTTGCCCTTGTTTTCATTAAATTTTGTAATAATACATATGTAGATCCTGTAAAAAAAGATATTTGAAAGGTAGTGAGAGACTCACAATGATAAATCCATCTTTTCCAGAATCCAAGTTGCACTCTCAAATGCAGCCGGCATGATTGCTACACTCGCCACTGGTGTCCAATTGGTGTGGTCTGCAGCAAAAATGATATCTTTGGATTGTTCAAGTAGATGCAGAGCAATATCTGTAATTATTATATATTGTCATGGCAAGTTGTTAAATAAAGAGAAGAAAAAACAAACAAACAAAATTCCCCATTAGTAGGTACGTAGGCTTGATTACCAAGTTCACCGGCTTCGAAACATGCACGAAGAAGTCGAGAACCTAGATAGCCATTTTGGGGTTTGAGGACTTCCAATGGGGTTTCCTTATAGAGAACGTCCCATTTCTTTCTGACCAGCACCAATGGCCAATGCAACAGGAAGATGATATCTCAAGTCTGGAATGCCAAGTATGTTTCTATTCTTATAAAGCATGCATTTCGCAATTTGAATGACCCCAGTAGATGCAGCAATTGCAAGTGGAGTAGAGGCATAATCATCAACCATTTCAAGAAATTCTGGGCTAGCTAATCTCACCAACTCCTCCACTATTTTTAAATGTCCAAAAAGTGCAGCCACATGCAGAGGTGTTCCATTTGTAGCTGTAAGTTTTGCAGTCAAGGCGCCTGGATGTTGCTCAAGGAATTCTTTTGCTGCCTCCCAGTTGTTAGCACATATAGCATTGTACAAAAAGCTCACATCAAAAGAAGTTGCTGCTACATTCACTATAACCAACAATTGATGTGGGTATATGTATATTAGCAGGAGTAGTAATTAACTTCTCCAAACGAGTATCTCCTAACTGGGTTGTTTTCTAATCACACAGGCTTGGCCTAGCCTAAAGCCTGTTAAAAAAATTTGCATTTTTTTTAAGAGTTTAAATTTCAAACAGGCCAAAAAATATTAACTAGAACTGAATCATAAAGCATATATCAAGGTTACCATATGGTTTGTGGGCGAACTTGTCATGGAGAATGTGCCAGGCAACCTTGGCTTCAGAGACTCCTTCTATCAGACGGCGAGTCTCCGGCGAGCATGTGATGCGTAAGATGCGCAATGCTTCTTCATTCTTTTGTCTCCAGGAAGAATCATCTTGACGAGGAGTTGTATCATCAATAATCGCTCCCCAAAGATGGTGAACTATCAGATAGTTTTTAACCAAATTAAACCACACTCTAGGGTTGTCCTTCGTAAGTGGACCTATAACAGCCATAATTCACTCACCCAATCTGCAATTGGAGAACGTTTTCATAATTAGAACATATTTACATGCAATTCTTCAAACTAGACCTACGTGCGTACGTACCTTATGAAGCAAAATCTATAACCTCACAATATGCACCGACCCAAACTCATATAGCATTAACGGTATTAGAACAACAAGGAAGTCAAATTAATGCACTTATATCCAAAACTGAGAATCGTACGAACATTATATGGTATTTTACTGAGCAAAAGGAACGAGTGGTTGCTTGTGTAATTTGCCATGAATCATTGACTTTATACCTGCACCCACATTCACGTTATCTCTGTATTCTCATCCTTTTCTGATTTTGATTTATAAATCCTTCCAAAGCTTTCTTCCTTTTTAGTTAGCGAATCATCCTAGCTAAATTCTCGTTTGTGTATCAGGCTGTCTTAGTCGGAAGTTACTTTGCATAGAATTATCTAATCAAAATTCCGTTGCAGTTTAATGATTAAGATTAAAGAAGAAATAGTATAAGTTTAACAATCTTTGATTGAAAAAAAGCAACATATATATATATATATATGAAATTCTTTTCTTATGTTATAAACAATCAATCACTTTCATCACCGTCACGCTCTAAAAATTTAGAGTGACTGGCATAAAATATGAGAAAACTCACATTCCTTAAGCCTTAAAACATATCAATAAACACTTGACATAACAATTATAATACCATTCATAATATCATAATTAATATAAAGCTCTTGAGCATGGATATGAAAATTCTAAATCATATCGGAACAAATTCCATGTCATCAAAATATAAGGCGATTCGGCTGAGATATTTAATTATCACAATACATTTAATGATCAATTATTCAAAATAATAAAAGAGCACGGAGATCCTGCTTATTTATGGACTACGTGGAGTATCCAAGTAACAAAAATAAATGCATTTATAAATGTATACTTGGATTTATATAAATTAACAGTTGTTCCAAAGAACAAAACTTATATCCAGTGCGTTATATCCAGTTTGTCCTATTCCCCAATCAACACCTGACATGTGGATTAGATTTAAATTATGCCCTCCAACTCATTAATTCACTTTGACGCCGTCAATGGCCGTTTCTGTAGAAAGGGCTAGTTAGTTGATAATATTTTGCCCTCCTCCATTCATCTTCATTTAGATATAATTTCTTCTCCTTCACCTTGTCAATAGTCGATTTCTCCAAAAAGCAAAGAAATTTTCGACAAAGCAAAACCATTGAACCACAGTAAGAAGCCAATACTAGCATTTTGGGGTATCTATTGTGAAATAAAAAAAGAAAAGTTATGAAGGATTAAAAAATCAATCCATGAACAAACAATTCTGAATTACTATTGAAAACTGTAGCCTTTAGATCAACGTCGTCTATCCACACGAATGGGTTTCAAAAAAAGTTTCATAGAAACATGCTCGTTCTACACTTGAAACGGGGATTTTATTGGGATTGACTCTTCAGATGAAGTTTTTGGTCCAAATATTGCTCAGTCGTCTCTGAATCTCGCCTTCTTCCAACTCCTGATGAGATCAAAGAGAAGAAGACAATGGGCTATTCGCAGAAACAGGAGACGGCGAATTGCGCAAGAGACATGTTCGCTTTTCGCTGCACAGTTAACTTCGTTGATGATGGGTTGCCAAACGGCGTTAAATGACCAAGCGAGATGGCAGGTGAGGTGTAAAAGTAATCCACATGTCAGGTGTTGATTGGGGAACAGGACACACTGGATATAACGTACTGGATATAAGTTTTGTCCTGTTCGAAATTACATCTAAAAACTCTGAAAGTAATGAGGGTCTTCACTCTTCAATTGAAGACACAAAGTTAACAGTGCTATTTGAGGCCAAAATAATGTAACGGTGAATAACATTTCATTAATAAAAATAAGATAAAAAAACGCTGAAAAAAAATTATGCAAATACAATTTTGTAAAATAAATGATTTATAGTTACTTTTAATTTTTGACTAAACCACTAAAACATATATATTTATATATAAAGCATTTTTTATATACAAAATTAACTAAGTATTTAAACAACTTATTTATAAAATCAATTTACAAAATAATGTGAAAAGAGTTTTTTTTTTTTAGTTGAGGATTTCAACAGAATGGGCAACAAGCGTAAACAGACAATCTACAGGGCCAAAGTAAACAAGCGTAACTTGTGTTTCTTTATTTGGTAAGATTATATGTGTTTATCATAATTTGAAGCATCATTATAAAGATGTCATTAATTGATATACTTATTTTACGGTTCACCAATCTTTAGAAATATTAGTGACAAGTATTTTAAGTTAACTTTTACCTTTTTTGTTCCCTGTCAAATCAAATTTTTTTACACTCATCAAATATATATCACTATTAGTTAATTTAAATATTATATGAAGCAAAGATGATGAGTAGTAGTGATCATATACACAAGATTCAAAACTTGATATCACACTCACTCTCCTTCCACTTGATCCTGAGATAACACAGGATTGAAGTTTTCATTTGATATATGATGGATGAACGTTCTGTAATAACTCAATCCTAAGTCAGCTGTTCTAAGGGAAAAATCTTCTTAGCAGGGTCGCCATGATCATACATACTAGAGGCGCAATTATGGTTGAAAAATCTGCCCAGATTGCCATAAAAATATTTTCATATTTCAAAAGTTATAAAAAGAAATGAATTCATTTAATGTATGGGACAAGATGCTTAAATACCCAAAAAGTATATAGAGAGGAGCACTCAGCACTTGGAAGTTTTTTTCACTCATATATTCCTTGAAAGTTTTATTTCGTAACATTTATGTCCTAAACTGTTATTCGCTGTTAAATTTGACTATTAAAGATATCAGTCAAATAACATAATTTAAAGGTCAAACTTAATAATGGATACTTTTGCTACGAAAATAAACTTCCGGAAAATAAAGGAGCTGAAAAAAACTTTCAAGTGTTAAATGCTACTTCACGTACACCTCGGGGCATTTAAGAACATTATCCCTTTAATGTGTTGAAGCTTAGAATATTAGAATAACTTAAAATTTAACATTAAGTCACACTGGAATGGCAAAACAGAAAAAGAAAAAAAAACTAATATTTAGAAAGATATACAATGTCCAAGACTATACATCAATGGTAATTATAACAACCGAAATTCCCCAAACTTGCAAATCCAACAACTTTCTGGGGGAAGAATACCTTTGAGGAAATAATTGAATTGGGACAATCTGATGAAGACATGCAACATTAATCACCAAACTGGCTAAAATTTCCCATTAAATGCAGAAAACAAGCAAGTTACTCACAGTGATGAGGACGCCGCCACCAGATTTCTGGCCCAAGGTGAGGCCAAGCGGCTTGTCGACCTCAACCTCAATGGTCTTCGCAGCGCCAGCAGCTCTGGCTGCGATCTCAAGCCCTCTTCTGAAAATGGCAGAACCTTTCGTGTTCTCAACCACAAAGAAGGAATCCGAAACAACCCTTTTGGCTTCACCTAGTGAAAGGCCCTGGAAAGACGTTTTCTGGAGAAAAGAACCGAAAAAATCGTAAATTCAAATGGGCAACCGGAAAATATTACCCCACAGAAAAAATGAACAGAATGAATGGTACCTGGGATTGAGATGAAGGATTAAGGAGAGACCTGGACTTGGAGTACTGAGGGAGCTGAGAATTTTTTATGGAGTGGTGGTTGGAAGAGGAAGAGAAGGTGGCAGAGCATGAGGAAGAGGAAGCTGCTGCAACAACACCGGACATCGCTGATCTTGCGAGTGAGAGAGTTCAGAGTTGTGTGGATGAGAATCAAGTGAACCAATTTCCAAAAGAACACCTGGGAAGCAAAATTTGAGGATGGTGGATCTTTTTTAACATGGTGGAAGATGGAAGATAATCTTTGATTGGTAGGGGAGGATGACACCTCTGAGTGCCACACGGCCTCTACGACGCACAGCCACCAAGTCATTCCCATTATTTTAATGGGAAAATTACAAACTAGGAACCTTACCCAAATTTTTTTTTTTTGTTGGGAGTTTGGACAAACACTTGGCGATTGACTCTTTTTTTTTAAAAAATAAATAAATAAATAACAAAAGAGGGAACCCCCCAGACTAACTACACAGCACCAACAAATATGGGTTGGGTCTAACGGAAGGAGCTAGTTCCTTACGATATAGCAAACCAAGATTCGTATCCCCGAACATCAAGAAATACCTATACTTTAGGGGGAAAAAAAGAAAAACTACACAACATCAAGAGAATTGTTACAATTCTTTACTCCATTGACAAGGATTGGTCTAATTAGTAAGAAATTATCTCATAACTAATTATTAGTTCAAATCTCATTGCTAATATAAGAATCTTGTTGAAATTTGCCTAAGTGTCATAAATGGCATTAAAGTGATGATATAGACTTATAAAATAACACCTAACTAGATATTGTGTAGATAATAGAGAAGAAAAAAAGAGAATAGATTATCAAAATACAACTCTCCTGTTTATTTGAGGAGTTGTTCATTATGTTTGCCTTTGTCCTTTTCATTATATTTTGAGGACATTTTTTTTTTTACCCACACAAAGTCTAGCTTAGTGCCATTTTATGAGTTCGGCTCATCACCTTAACATCATTTACAAATATTTCAACATCGTGCCTCCAAAGACTAACATTTAAGATAAATTAAATTTCAAAGATTAAAATCAGAGGTTTAAAATTTGATGACGAAAATCAAAATAGACTTAAATTTTTAGATAAAATTCGAAGGACTACGTTTAATTTGATTCTCTTAACCACATACGCTAATTTTGTGTGTGTATATACACACACACACGCAAATGTAAATAATTTGATGTGCGTCCGTACACCAGGCAGTTTGGGTGCCGAATAAGGGTAATGTATCCTCCACTTCCACGTCATTTTACAAGAAGAATTTTATCGGCTATTTCTCAAATATATTAAATTATATCCTAGCGTTATGAAACTAATTTTAGAAACAAGTTAACACGTTTTTTAGAATTCATTTTGACTCCAAGAACTGTTTCATCAGACTAGAACTACTAACAATAAGCAAAATAACATTGGTAAGGATAGTGAAATATAATTTCAAAATTGTTCATATTAATATCTTTCGGAATCATATAAGCCAATGCGATGCTCAGTAATAATTATTTTAAAAATATATATATATATAAAAAATAAAATAGATTAAAATTTTATATTTAAAACTAAAATAAAAATGAAATTCACCCTTCACAAAAAAAGAAAAAAAAAGAGGCTCTGCTGGAACCTCGATCCTCGCTGCACGGGGGGTCCGTTGGCATCTTCGTTTCGGAACTCTTGTCTGGAAATTATGCGAACATAGAAATAGAAATATTTTCTTGCCGGAAACTAGATTGCCTGAAGATATGATTCTTCCCGTTCAAACCATTGTACGCCACACCATCTCTGCTTGGGATCTCCTTGGTACTGTCAATCCTGAAGCTTAGATGTTAGTGGTTCTGTAGACTCTGTACAGCTGTCCTAATTTACATATATTTTCTTTTTCACTTGAAAAAAAAAAAAAAATTGCATGTGTTATTATGGAGCCAGGGGAGCATCTACCAGTCAACTGCTTGTTTTTTTGGGTTTCGTTTGTGTATTCAAGGAGCTGTTTGGATGAAACAAAAAAATAGTTTGGAGAATAGATTTTGTGAAGAATAAATTTTGTGAAAAAGTGATTTTAAGAAGTGAAAGTGTTTTGATAATTGTTATCAGAAGCACTTTTTATATATAAATTACTAAAAAAAATATAAGTTAATATGATAATTACATAAAAATAGATTTTATGATATATTTTAATTTGAAGGAATAAAATTGTTAATAATATATTTTTAACCAATATAATTAATAATACATAAGATAATGTAATTAATAAATAATTAATATGTATATATCTATTTATAAGATATAAGATTAAATATGTTTATAATAAAATAATTGAGGGATGTTGAAGTCATGTTATTGTTGAGATCTACTCTCATAAGCACAATCATACTCTCTAATTTGAGCTAGAAGTAAAATGAATTCACTTCTCTTAAAACCATGGTTTTGGATTCTAAAACTATGGTTTTGACTCAAATTATAGTTTCAGATTATTGGTCCAAAATTAATACTGTTTGGATAACATCCTATCCAAATTATGGTTTTACCTTCTAAACATTTGGGAGGACCATGTCGTAGACCGAAGTGGCATATGGGGACAAAAATCATCCGCATCCGTAATCTTTTAGCGTCATGCGCGTCCCTTTATTTCGCTTGGAAAATATAAAAAAAAAAAAAAAATCATATTCACCTCACATGGTGACTGTAAAGAATCCTATGATTCATCGGCATCCGTAATCCTTTAGCGTCATGCGCGTCCCTTTATTTCTTTATTTCGCTTGGAAAATATAAAAAAAGAAAAGAAAAAAAAATCATATTCACCTCACATGGTGACTGTAAAGAATCCCATGATTCAGTCCTGTCCAAAGTATAAGTCGCTTGCTAGAGATTTTTATTCTAGATACAAGTCATTTGCACTATATTTAATATTTATTTTTTTAATTTATTTTATTTAATTTTTATTTAAAAGAGAGAAAGTAGGGAAAGATGGAAGAGAAAACTTTAATAAGAATAAAATTAAAAATTTTTATCAATTAGTATTTGAGAATGTGTTCCAACTGATGTATATTAGGGACCAAAGTGGTACTATTTCTTCTTGAAAATTTACTATGTACTCCAGTCAATCCTTTTTATAGGTTGGAAAAAAAATCCTTTTAATTAGATTCCAAAATTTGAATTAAGGAGGTATTGGGATTAGCTTCTTAGGAATGATTTTATAGAGCATAAGGTATTTATGACAGAAATTTTGTAGTATTTATATAGGAGAAATTTTGTCTCAACTTTTGTGAAAATAATTTGTTAAGCAGTTATAAAGGTTGTCAAACCCCTCTTTAATTCGATAATTTTTGTAAGATCTTGTTTAGATATGTCTCAACATTAAATACATTTTTGCTAATTCCAATGTATTTACATAAAGAGTTAATTATGCCTTTTTAAATTTCTAAAAAATGAGAGATATTTGAAATTCGTATGAGAAAAGTCAACCATATAGTAAGCAATTTTATAAATTTTTAGGACTCACTGCGATGAGGACTAAGGATAGCCATGGCAAACGACTAAAGCGCGGTGTTTCATTAAAGCAAGTTCGTTGTGACAAACGACTGAAATTTTAAATACCGAAGAGGGTTTATTTTTTGGAGTTTAAGAGTTTAAAAAGTAAGGTTTATCTGCTAGGAAAAACCCAGAGCAATCTTTTGAAAATTCTGAGAACTCTGTTAGTAACAGTAGGTGACTCTAATCTTTTTGTTTTCTTTCTTTTTCTCCCTCCTTCCCACATGATGGGGGTTCTAGGGTAACCCATTGGGAATCTTTCATCAGTCTTTTAATCTAGCAACCTGATGTTTTGTCTTAGAGTAACTTTAAATACTCGAAGAACATTTGAGAAGCAATTTGGTTATCTCAGAAGTTATTCTCAGAGTTCAAGTAACATGAAATTCTTACTTATTTCTGCTGTTGGTTCCTCCAAAGGTAGCCTCTACCCAAATAACTTTTATGATGAGATTTAGATGTTCTGAAATAGGAAAAATTGAATAGGGAACTGGTGATCAAAAGATTAGCTGGCCGCAGCTAACAATGCTAGGCACTGCGGGGAGATTCCTCTCTCCCCACATTCAAAGGGAAGGGGTTCGTCGCAACAAGAGATCTAGGGCCATGGTTGTCTGATTTTCTCATGATTTTGTGATTTGGAACTATGAATACGAGAGGTATGACTTATTGTCACATATTGGTACTTTCCTCTTGTAGTTATGACACGAATTAAAACCCTACTGCTCTGTATATGTGGTAAGGGCTATTGAGCTGAACTAATGATGTTATGATAATATTGTTTTGAATTGAGGAATATCTTGGTCGTGAAATTTATATGAACTGTAATAATGGGGAGGCGATATTGTTGGCAGTTGTTCTTAACCATGTAATTTACCTCCTGAGAGTGCACTATGATTGGCACTTTGAAGAGGGTAGTATACTCTTATTTTATGACACTCTAGAAGTATCTCAGGACAATGTACTCTGAGGGTAGCATACCCACTAAAATACTGTTGCTTGTGTGTACCTTGCCAACTTTAATCAGTTGACATCACACGTGAAAAAAACTCATGCGCATATTCATTTTGACATGAAAAAAAAAAAATTCATACGACCTTATTCGATAATAACTTCATAAACTACTTGCCATAATCATTTTGACAGTCAGAATTACACCATCTTAATCCTCGAAATGAGACTATAGAAAGAAAACTTGAGCCTTAAATTCCCCAAATATGACATATTCATCAAATAAGAGCAGACAAGCATGCGCCTACAGGCAACAGTTTAACAAGTTTACTTTTGCGTAGAAGTCATAATCAAAATCCTAAAAATATAATTGTCAGAAATACAATCTTCAAGAGCTCAACGAAACGATAATAAATTAATAAAAATGACAGAAACAGAATATACAAATAAAAAAAAACACATATATTCTTGCTTTTTTCCTTGGGGATATCGGCCAAGAGAAGTCTCCTTTTGTTTTTGTTTTTTTTTCCCCCCTAATTTTGCCTGGATTAGAACACAAGAGCATAGTTAAGCAAAAAAGCAGATACATATATACAAAGGTGCAAAATTCATAGGAGAAAAAGTATATAATACATAATGGCAAAAAAAAAAAGTACATAAATGTGAGACTAAAGCGATCAACAATGAATTCATTGATTATTAGAACGATAATTTAATCAGTTTTCTTTTACGTAAGATCCTTTTGCACCTTTTTCAGAAA